CTGCCTGGTCTATAGCATCTTTCCCCTTTCAATCACTGTGACAGCAAGCGACCAGAGAGGTCCAGATAGGTTTCTGTCTGAGACAGTCTATCAGAGTTTATGAAAGAATAAATGAGCCCTAATTGATTTGGGTCCGTGGATAGAGCATTAGCCTGCGGAGCAAAGGGTCCCAGGTTCAATTCCCAACAAGGGCACATACCTCGGTTGCAAGCTCCTTCCCAGCCTGGGCCTTGGTCGGGGTTTGTGCAGGAGGCACCAATCGATGTCTTTCTCTCTCTTTTCCATTCTTTCTAAAAATCAATGGAAAAATATTCTCGGGTGAGGATTTAAAAATAAATAAGTAAATCCTTGAGTGAGGATTAACAAAAATTAGTAAATAAATGAGTGAATGAAGATTTATTTAACCAACAACTGTTTATTGAGCACCTACTGGGTGCCCGGCACTTTGCTAGGGACGTGGCAGTGACTAGGACAGCTTCAGCCCCGTGGGGGAGACAGACCTGTTCCCAGTGATGAACCCAGACAGGCAGAGCTGGGAGGGGAACCTGGGAACTGACCCAGCTTGGGGATCAAGGGACTTTGGGAGGAAGGGCTATTGGAGCTGAGCCCTGGAGGAAGAGCGTTTGAGCCAGAGGAAGCAAAAGGAAGAGTGTTCCAGGTAGAGGGAAGAGCACACAGAAAGATCTGGAGACGAAGGAGAGACACCATGGCATCTGGAACGCTGAGGAAGAGTTGGGAGAGGTGAGCCTGGGTGGTCAGCACTGGCCAGGATGTGCCAGGCCTGTGGGCCTTGGTGAGTGAGGAGTTTCAATGCAGAATGCCAGCGTATTGGCCAGGTCAAGCTAAGAGTCCCCAATGTGGACCATTCTGCTTTCCTGACACGCCACAGACACCCCCTCCAGGAAGCTTCCAGGATTGCTCACTGGGAGCTGGCCCAGCCAGCCAGTAACACTGTTCAATGCTGGGCAGTGAGGAGCCAGTAGTTACTATTAATCAGACTGGTCCTACCCTCACTGAGGTCACAGTGATGACATTCGCAAACCTCCCTCCTCTCAATGCCTTAGAAACGCTCACAGACCTTTCTCTCAGAGCCAAAGCCGTGGCATCACCCAGGGGCTTGCTGGAAACAACAGACTACACCAGACCTGCAGTTTAACCAGATCCCCAGGTGAGCCATGATCACCTTCACAGCTGAGCAGCACTGCTCTTGAGCTTACCCTCCTCGTGCCTCAGTTTCCTTCTCGGTACCATGGGGGTAATAACCCATTTATGGGGCAGGTGTGGTGAGAATCTACTGACAACGTGTGTGTGAAAGCACTGAGCACAGCGGACTACGTGTTTGCTTTCAGAGGTCCCTCCTCTTCATTTTTATTATTAAGTTTCAGAGCCCACAGTCCTCTAGCCTTCTTGCTCTCTGGATGGGGAAACTGAGAAATGGTGTAGCAGCGATTTTGCCAAAGGGCGGAAGGACAGGCGGAGGCCTGCCTTTGGCAAAGTTGGCCCAGGGCTCTTTACAGGATGTGCTGAGCACTGTCACCCGCCTCTCACCTGTGGGGCAGAAGCCTCGGGGTTCTCCTTGCCTGCTCCACACCGAGAGCCAGGGGTTCTGCCCTCTCTCCTTTACTCAAGGTCTCCTCCTCCTGGAAGCCCCCCCAAAGTGAGCCCCAGAGAGAAAGACTTGCTTTGCTCACCCCATGCTCTGTGGGTGGGTGGGTGTGCATGTCTGTGTGTGTGTTTGAGAAAGAGAGAGAGTGTGTCCAATGCCAACTTTTCCCTTGCACACAGTAGGCACTATGCTAGGGCCCATGACAATCTTAGGGGCCCATGAAAATGTTTGATTTCTTTTAAAATCTGAAGGAAACACTAAACGTCTAGGGGAAAAGAAAGTGCTTTAATATATAATGTTATTTGTCTTTATATCAATGCAGTTGTGAAATATAATTTAAAAAAAATTTTTTTAGGAAGAGGCCCACCAAGGTAACAGTGCCAGGGGCCTGTGAAAGTTACAATGCGATTGTGTTTCTCTGCTTCCCATGACGTCTCTAGGAGGCTCTATGTCTGAAAAGGTTAGGGTGGCTTTGTTTTTAACTTTCCTTTTTTTAATCCTCACCTGAGGACATGCTCAGAGAGAGGAAGGGAGAGAGAGAGAGAGAAACATCAATGTGAGAGAGAAAATGTGTGACAGAGAAACATCGATTGGCTGCCCTCCGCAAGTGCCCTAACCTGGGACTGGACCCACAACCCAGGTATGTGCCCTGATGGGGGACTGAACCAGCTACCTTTCGGTGCACAGGACAACACTCCGCCAACCGAGCCACTCGGGCCGGGCACAGTGGCTTGGTTTTGATAATAAAACAAATCCCTACAATGTGCCAGGTGTGTTCTGGGAGCTTTATTGATATTTACGTAATCTTCCCACCAGCCCCAAGATCTGGGCACTATTTTGTTCTCATTGCCAGGTGAGGAAACACTTCCAGACATCACTAGCTCAAGTTCATCCGGCCACTAACTGGAAGGGCCAGAACGTAAGCTCAGGCTGCCTAGACTCTGGGTCTGCCTCTTGGGGGGCAAACACGCAGAGTCCACATTCGTGTGACCATCTGCATGCACCTATATTGACATCATAACTCACTCAACGATCATTAAAATTACAGCCTCTGAAGCCCACATGCTTCATTTTTACCCCAGCGCCGCCCCTCATTCGCTGTGTGACTCTAGGCAAGTGACTTCCACTCTCTGGGCCTCCCATTCCTTTGCCTGTAAAACGATCATTCCTACCTCATAGGAGTGTGGTGAGAATTAAATAAGAATTAGCCCTTGTTATTGTTGAGTGAAGAACATCCATGAGCACCTGTAGGGAAGGTGTACCTGTCATGAGTGTGTGTCACGTGTGTTGGTAACCATGTGATGGTGTGTGTTTCTATGTACAGGTGTGTGTAATAAAGCTGTTTTTTCCGTGTGGCCCTGTGTGTTGCTGATTGTGGGTGAATGCCTGAATGCCCCAGTGTGACCCTGAGAGTAGATACCAGTGGCTGTGTGGCTGTGTGGGCCACCCATGTTGGGCAACCGTCTTTGGGTAGCCAGGCTAGGTATTTGTGTGTCTCCTTTATTCCGGGGGAAGGGAGATGAGGGGCCATGATGGGACAGGGGATTGAGGGGTCACTCCATGTCTGATGCTGGGGCCGAGTCACTGCCTGCTGGTGGTTGGTGTGTCATTTCCTAGTCCCTGTCCCTACTTCCAGATTGGCAGCAGACAGAGGAGGCGTGGGGGGACGAGGCAGAGGTCAGTCTTGAGGCTGGGCTTTTGTCTGGCAGCATCCACCTTCCCATATTGCCCCCAGTGTCCGTCCAGCCTTCCACATCTCCCTCCCGCTCCCCACTACTGAGCAGAGAATCAAAACTCTCCTGGGAATCAGGGACCAACCCTCCTGCTCTGCCTGAGATGTGCTGTGTGGCCCAGAGCCAAACCCTCCCCTTCTCTGGGCCTGTGGGGTTCGACAATTTTAAAGCGACTCTCCCTCTGAGCCCAGGGCTGCGCCAGGCCCGGGCTTGGCACTTGGAGGGAAGTGCCAGGATCTCAGAATTGTGAAGCCGCTGGTGGGACCCTTTCCAGTGGGTGCTTATGAGTTGGGCCTGTGGCTTCCAAAATATCCGGATTAGACTACCGAACCCCAGTTCCTAACTGGGTGGCCTCAGGTGAGCAGCTTTCCCCCTCTGAGCCCGGTTACCATAGTGGACACTGTGAGCAGACAGGGCTGGATTTGCAAGGCTTACAGCTCTGGACGACTGGAATTGTCACTTAAACAATCCCAACACTTAGGGCTTTTCAGGGAATTTCACTGAACCAAGCAGCTCTCAGAAACCAGGAAGAGGGTAGGAATTCTGGCGTTTGACAGTTTTGAGTTTGACTCTTCCGATGGAACCTTGGGAAAGTTATTTAACCCCTCCAAGTATCATTTTCCTCTTTTACCAAACGAAGATTTTCCTTCCTAAACCCTCAAAAGTTGTTTTAAGGATTACAAATCTTGTATTGAAAGTCTTAGTATAGAAGCTGGCACTTGGTTATTGTTGAATACATAACATCAATCACTATTATTATTATTATTATTATTCCCACACACACATTCTTACTGTCTATGGATAATAAATGGAGACTTAGAGGTTACCAACACCATCAGCAGAGGCGTGTCACCTTGTGTCATTACCCATCCCCTCCAAACCTGCATACCTCCCAAACTGTGGACCTGGGGGGCCAGTGGTGTCCAAGACCCACATCCTTCGTCCAAGCTGAAAAAACTAAAGCTGAAGCTCAAAGAGGGAAAACATTTCCCAAGCTCACAGGGCAGGGCAGAAGCTGCGCAGAACTTCGGGACTCCACCCCACCCCACCTCCACTTTCACCTGGAGAACCCCAGCCCCTCCCACCCGGCTCGGGACTCCAGGACTCTAGCCAGGGTCTACTTTTGGAGATCTGACCTTCCTCTGGAGTGGGGGGCGCTGCACCGCGGGGAAAATTGTGAGGAGCTGCCAGAGAGGAGGGGTCTCCCCCGCCAGGGTCTTCCCCGGGACCTTCCCCAAATAGTCTAAGAGCCTATTAATACCAGCCCCCGGGGCGACGCGGCCCTGCGCAGGCGCGAATGGGTTCCGCAAGCGCGCCGGGAGTGCTCGCCAGCGAGCGAGGGATTCCCTCTGACGTAATTGCTAGGTTACCAAACAAACACTCTGCCTAGCCGGCCGAGCTCCTTATATGGTTAATTGCGTCACAGGAACTCGGGGAGGCGGGGCCGGGATCCCCTCCTGCCGAATGCCCTGGAGCGCAGCCCCCGAGACCCCCCGGGGCCGCGAAGGTGTTGCAGGTGACCAGATGGAAGACAGGGCACCCTCCCGCCGGGCGGCGCGGGGTTCGGTACAGCGGGGCCAGAAATCTGGGGAAGTTTTCAGAAAGAGGGGCGGGTGACGTAAGCAGGGAGGCGGGTCCAGGCATATAAATACAGGCTGGCGGCTTTGGGGGTCATTCATAAGACTGAGAGCTACGGCCACCACTGGGACACGCGGAGCTGGGACTTGGGGACTTGATTGTTGTGGTTGTTGGGGCTGCGGAATTCTGTTTATTATTTTTTTCTTCCGGAAAGTTTTTGGAAGGATTCTTCTGGATAATTCTACATTTTACTTTGGAGGACCCACTTACTTTTTTTCGTCCTCTTTATTACTCCCTTTCCCTTGGGGGACCCGCCGGACGCGTGGAGGAGACAGCACCTGAAGCAGATTCTATACAGCGGGACAGCGCTTTCCGCCTCTGGGGGAGCGATCCCCCCGACCGCACGACCCCACGCCACTGGGTCCTACGGAGCCTGGACTTTCAGGCGGCACAGCGGCATCTTGTGGGGGCCTGAGCACCGCAGAGGAATTGCACCGAAACTTTGCCGTTGTTGGAACGGGACGCTGCCCCCCACCCCGAGGTTCCCCGGACAGCGCACTTTGGGGACGCGCTCGGCTCACCCCGGACTCGCACCTTTCGTCCCCCACCCGGCCATAGCCTTGGCTTCCCGGCGACCTCAGCGTGGTCACAGGGCCCCCCCTGTGCCCAGGGAAATGTTTCAGGCTTTCCCCGGAGACTACGACTCCGGCTCCAGGTGCAGCTCCTCACCCTCTGCCGAGTCTCAGTACCTGTCTTCGGTGGACTCCTTTGGCAGCCCACCCACCGCCAGCGCCTCCCAGGTAAGTTCTAATGAGTTGGGGTACTGCTTTGTGAGGTTTCATTTTTTTTAAATCATTTTTATTTTTTAGGCAAGGGTGGAACGAGCAATCTCCCCACCCCAAATAAAGACGCGTCAAAACCCGGGATCTGCTAGGGCATAGACTCACAGCGCACTTTGCAAACTGCAGAGTCGGGACTTGTTGGTCGTGTAAGCGAAGCGCAGGGAGGGAACGCAGAGGGGTAAGCTTTGTGAGAAGAATGTGCAGTTTAGTGAAACGCGTGGTCTGCGGCAGCAGGACTGAGGACTTTTAGGGGGCTCCGGGACCGTCCCCGACCCAGGTCCCCCCTCTAGCGCGGTTAGGCAGGTGGGGGAAATCCCGGGGAAGCTTCCAGCAGCCCCCTCCCTTTACCTCTTCCATTGGAGCGCCCACTCGGGCGCTGTAGCTCCCGATGCAGCGGGAAGGTGGGCCGAAATCGCGGCTGCACTGCCTCCGCCTCCTGCGTAGAGACGTAACGGGGACCCGTGCGTAACGGCTGACGTGCTGGAACCCTCCGTCTGACGCGAGGCACGCACGGCGCGCGGCGCCCCCTCCGTCCGCCCCGCCCCTGACGTCCCGGGAGCGTTCTATTTTGGAACGGCAGGGCCACGTTGCTAGGGAGGGAGCAGCTCGGCGTTCCGATTGGTCGCCGCGCCGCGAGCGTTAGCCAATCAACTTTCCCTTCCTATTTGTATGGTGCCGTTCCCTTCCCACTCCGTCCTTGGAACCCTGGGTTTCTCGGCGCTCCGGTCTCTTTGACGGGCCTCTAGCAGCGGAGCGAGGGGATCGTGTCGCGACAGGAGCAACCCTCTGCGACACGATGGGTCTGCGAGGACCGGCCGCGGATCCGGTCCCTCCGCTCTCAGGGGCAGGGAATGTCTGTTGGTAGGCAGGGGTTTCTTCGGGAGATATGGTGGCCGGCATATCTTCTCCAGGCACAGGCACACTCTATCTCCCTCTGCTCCGGACTCCCGGTCCCTCCGAGGTGTCCAAAGACAGGACTAGAACCGCTAACTCTGGGAGCAGCAGCCAGGTGGTCTCCAGGAGCCCCGCCCCCTCTGGGCTTCCAGGGCGCTGATTGGCCAGCGGGCCAGCCCGTCCCTCACCACGCCCCCTGGGAGAGTAGTTAGCGTTGCGAGCAGTTCTAGGCTACCGTTTGGGGATTGGGGAGATGAGCGCTGCAGGGGTTTGGGGGCTCGGGACCCATGCCCTTCCCTCTCCGCGACAGTCCGGGGGAGCACGGGTTGTCATTTTTCCCTACCTGGGCGTCCATCGTAACCTGTCACTGTCAGCCTCACTCTGGGGAGAGACAATTACTTGAAACGTTGTTCTGAACTCCTAGGCCCATCTCCCAACACCCTTTTAGCCGGGACCCCCGCCCCTGCGCAAGGGGGGGTCTCACGGACCCTCCAACAGCTCATGCTCGCATCCAGAGGGGTGTGTGTATGTGCACGAGTGTAGAGGAAGGCTTGGCCTAAGGCCTCTCCCTCTCCCTCCCCTTGCCTCTGGGGTGGGGGTGGGGTGTAGTGGCTGTGTGTGTGGCTGTGACTCTCTCCGGGGCTTCTGTCACCCGGCTGTGTCCAGCCTTCTCCCCACCCCCCCACACCTAAGAGTCACCAACTCGGGGTGTGATTCACCACCCGCTGGAACCGTGCAACCTTTCCCCGAGGAAGAAGGAGGAGGTAGAAGCCAGTTGAGCAGAGATCCTCTCATTAACCACTGCGTCACGGTGTAGTGGAAGGGTGGGTGTTGTGGCTTTTTGCCTGTGACACACACATCCACACCCGCTCACCCTGTGCTCACTCACGGGGTCGGTGTGTATATGTGTGCTGGGTCTGTGTGTGTCGGTGTCTCTGTTTGTGTGTCTACGCCTGTGTGTGTATGTGTCACCCCGTAGGAGTGCGCCGGTCTTGGGGAAATGCCCAGTTCCTTCGTGCCCACGGTCACCGCGATCACAACCAGCCAGGACCTCCAGTGGCTCGTGCAACCCACCCTCATCTCTTCCATGGCTCAGTCCCAGGGACAGCCCCTGGGCTCCCAGCCCCCAGCCGTCGACCCCTATGACATGCCTGGAACCAGTTACTCCACGCCAGGCATCAGTGGCTACAGCAGTGGCGGAGCCAGTGGCAGCGGTGGGCCTTCCACCAGCGGGACCACCAGTGGACCTGGGCCTGCCCGCCCATCCCGAGCCCGGCCTAGGAGACCCCGAGAGGAGACGGTGAGTAAGAGGCATCAGAACTTCATCTGGGGAGAGGAGACAAGAGAGGCAGGAACTTTCTCATATTGGGGTGAGGGGCCACCAAGGCCTCAGTGCCGCAGGAACCCCATAGTCCTGGCCACAGCTGGTGAGGACCGGCGGGTGCTTTGCTGGCTCCTGGGGGTTCTGGAAGAAGAGGAGGTTTAGGGTGGGTGGAGGAGGTGCACCATGTTCCCAAACCTCATGACCTTTATCTCCCCTACTCAGCTTACCCCGGAGGAGGAGGAGAAGCGAAGGGTGCGCCGGGAAAGGAACAAACTGGCAGCAGCTAAATGCAGGAACCGTCGGAGGGAGCTGACTGACCGACTCCAGGCGGTGAGGATGGCCCCTGATTTTGGGGGGGGTGAGGGGACGCTGAAGGGGGGCTCTTTCCCCACCCTCTGTCACCCCCACCTGCCCTTATCCTGGGCTGAGAACCAGAGCTTCCACATATGAAACTAGGTATAGGGGAGGCCAGATAGGGGCCCCTGTGCACACACCCAGACCCTCACATACTCAGGTCAACCCCTGGCCACTCGCCCAGGTCTATGACCCCCCCCACCCCTCGCCC